TGGCTATAGGATGGGTGTCACTTGGGATGTGGCACCCGGGGCGGTCCCATCCTCTGGGAAGGACGATGTGATCCTGGCTGCAACCTAACTCCAAAAAGAGCATTTTGTTTCAGCCAGGAGGAACAGCTGGGCCAGAGGCCTGCCAGTGTCCCCAGGGCCACCACCTCGCACCAAAGCCGTGCTGCCCCTGCCACCGGTGCAGGAGCTGCTGCAGCAGCTATGGGTGGGGTTGGCTGAGTGACCAAAATCAGCAGAACATGAGTGTGGGAGCCTTGGAGGGCACTGGGAGACCCTGGGGAGATGGGGTGAAGGAGGGTGCTGTGAGGAGTCCCACCTGCTGACAGGAGTCCTTGCTGGAAGAGAGCACCAAGAAGGTTTTCTACAGCTCTGAGGAGGAGGAGGATGCCAAGGCGTAGGTGGCCTGGATGGTGAATCATAAGCCCTACGTAAAGGACCTCAGCCACTGCCTGCCCCTGCTGCAGAGCCACAACACCACAGTGAGCCCCTGCCCCAGCCCTGTCCATCCCCAGAGCCCACTGGTGGTGTCCAGCAGCCTGGGTAGTGATGTCCTCAACTCATCCCCTCCCCGCCCCCCCCCCCTAGATTCCTGTCTTCTTTTCCTCTTCCTCTCCATTGGACGAGGGGAGTGATCGAGGGCTGGGTGGGTCCCTAGCAGCGACCCAAGGTCAACCCAACACAATTATTTGATGATGCCCGTTGTCTGCTAGATGATATAGATGGGCTACAGGATGTGTTGTCTTGCATGCCATGATTTATCCTTTTTGTAGATATCTTTGGAGAGGCAATGGGGACATTGGATGTAGGAGAAATTAGGAAAGCATCTAATTAATGCGAGGTGCTGTTGTTTGTGGGGTAACGTGGAGCCTCCTCAGTCCATGGGGGAATCGTCCTCAGGGAGCTGATCTATGGCAGCTGATACCCCTCAAATCACGCAGCACTGCAATGCCAGGTTGGGTGGGCTCAGTTGGCCCAGAAGAGGGGGGACACTGTAGGGAACCCCTACGCTGCCCTTCACAGGTCTCTGCCCAGTGCTGGCAGCTGGACCCCAGCCCTCCTGGGGTCCACAACAACCTCGCAGAGGCTCAAGCCCTGCTGGGGACCTACAGCCCTCCCAGGGTAACCCATCCCTCCCTGAGAGGCTCAGCCCTGTGTTGGAACCCACAGTCCTCCTGTGAACCAACAACCACCTGGGGACCCCAATGTTCCTGTGGAAACCCCAGCCCTCCGGGTGACCAATCCTTCCTGGAGACCCCACAGCCCTCCTGGAGGTAGCAGCCCTCCTTGAGGATGCTACACCCCTACCAAGGGAGCCCATAGCCCACCTGGGGAGGTTGACCCGGGGGATACTCACAAACAAGTTGCTGCTGTCTTGTTTTTGGGCTATCACCTGCAAGAGAAAGCCATCCATGTGTGAGGAGCATAGTGTCCCCGCCACAGTTCCCATCACCCGTGGGCCAGCCCCAGTGGGAATTGTGTCAGGATGCAGACTCATGGCTTGGCTGTGGGTGCAGGAACCATCACACTGCAGTCGTGACCCTCAGCTCCCAGCTCACCAGCGCCTTGTAGAACTCGGCCAAGCCCAGGAGGGAGAGGGCGAAGTGGATGCAGTTGTTAGCAGGTTGTAGTTGTCTTCGCTGTTCATTGCCTCCCTGACCCTACGCCTGAATTCTTCAAGGTTGAGCTTGCCCACTTTCAAGTAAATCTCACATTTTCCCCTCTTCCTTTTCATGGCTTTGAAGCCCTCCTTGCTGATCACACCATCATTCAAACTAGCACCCGTGTCTGAAAAAAAACAAGAGCCACCCATCACCCTGGCACGGCCACCCTGCCAGCAGCCACTTTGGCCACCGCCACATCCCAAAGGGCAGTGGGGGTCAGGAGCTTACACTGGAAGTGGATGACCTCTCCATCCCCACAGTAGACAGCCGCGTGTTTGAAGACGTTGCTGACTCTGCCCAAGATACTATCCATGGGGAAGAGCACAATGTCCCCAGGCTGAATCATCTTTTCTGATACCTCCTTAAACATCTCCCCCTGCCCTGGGACACTCTTGTTCAGCAGAAACCAGAATGTTTCATACTGTCTCTGTCAAGAGCACCGAGGAGGAAACATCAGGAGGTGGCAGAAGCTGCCCCATCTCCCCCAGCTCTCTCCCGCATCCCCCACGCCACTGGCAGAGGTCTCCCAAGCTCCTACTTACTCTGCTGCTCACCATCTGCAAGGAGAGAGGGACAGAAAAGGGGTGTCAGCGCCGTGCTCGTGCCGTCCTGCCCCTGCACCGAGGGCAGCCTGACCGGGGTACGGGGCAGGGATGTCCCTGGGACGGAGCCATCGAAGAGCTGGGAAGATGTGTCCTCCAGCAAGGGCTGTGGGGAAAGCTCTGTGAGTTGGCGTGTGCCAAAGCTGACCTTTCATCCTTCCTGAGGTACGAGAAGGGTGGAGAAAGTCTGAAAGTAAAACCCAAAGGCAGTCCAAACTCCAGGAAAGCCCTGGATACATTTTTAAACTTCTAAAAGCTGGGGTTGATTTGCTACTTGCCCTCCAAATGTTACATTTGGGAATGGAGGGAAATGTCCCAGGAGATCCTGGAGATGCTCTTGAGTCAGAGGAGCTGCAGGACATCTCCAACAGTGCATGTCACACTGTGATGTCCCACCCACCTTTTGAGTCACCTTCTAGTGCCAGCCTGGACGTAGCATGACCCGCTGGGGTACACCCCCAATGAGAGGCTTCCAACCAGATGTGGTTCGGCTGTTTGGCCAGTTTTTAGCCAAGCAGCCCAGGAAATACTCATTTTGATACTCAAGTGTTGGCAATGAAAGAGTCATCTGTTCGTCTGAGGAGGCCACTGGGAGCAGGGAGCGGCCACTCCCTTGGAAGGAGGGAGGACACAGGTGGCTGCAGCAGACCTGGGACTTTGCTCACCTGTGCCTTCATGGAAAGGAGCACCTGGGAAAGGGAAAGTGAAAACACCACGAATCAAACTGGGTTTGCAAAGGCTTTTGTGCAACCCTTTATTGCCACACAAGAGGAACAGCAAAGCTGCTGGTGCAAGGTGGGTCTCGCAGGGCAGGATGCTCCAGCCCCACGCATCCTCTGGGCACATTGTCACCCCCGTCACTGCAGTGCTGGGGACGCCTGGGAGAGAAGATGGGCTGTGGTGACGCTCGGCCAGATCGGGTGTCGGGGTCCCCCGAGGTGGTGGCACCCACCATGGCAGCAGCACGCTGGCCCAGCCCCAGCAGGGTGAGGGCGAAGTGGATGCAGTTGCAGGTGATGGCGTCATACTCCACCACCTGGTCCATGGCCACCCGGATCCGCTGCTGCAGGGCAGCCTCATCCAGCTCTCCCTTCTTCCGCAGCACCTTGGCCGGGCCCCGAGTCCGCAGGAGATGGCTCTTGCCGTGCTTGGCCACGATCCCCAATGACGATAACCCTGAGCTGCCTGCGGGGTGGAGATGACGTTCCACCACGTATCCCTTCCATAGGGACATCCTCACACCCTGACCACTTCCTTAGGCTCACCTTCTAGGTGGATGATCTCCCCATCACCACAGTAGATGCCGGCGTGGGCGCCCCACCAGCCAGGGCCCCCCGAGGCCAGTGGGAAGAGGAAGAGGTCTCCAGGCTGGGGATCAATGGTCCCATTGGGGACCACGTCGAAGTGCTGTCTGAGCAGCCCCTCGCAGAGGAAGAACGCTGCCGTGCTCACCACCCCGGCCACCTCCTGGGGACCCAGCCATGTTTCAGGGACACTGACACCCTGGGGACACTGGCAGCATCACCAACCCACTGGCTCATCCCCCAAACCCTGGTGGCTTGGGCACAGCTTGGGTCTCTATGGATGGGGAAAACCCTCTGAGATGGGGTCACCTCCTCTAGGTGCTGAGCACCTCTGGGTGCTGAGGAAAAGGCCGGGTGTGCTGGATTTGGCCCTGTTGAGCCAGGGGTGCAGAGGAGACACTGGCACATACCTGCCTGGAGCTGCTCACCTGGAGGGACAAACACCCGGAGTCAGCCCTGGTGGTGCCAGGGAGAAGGGAGCCAGGGCACCAGTACCATGACTCAGCCCCTGCCCAGACTGGTGCCATCCCCCTGGTTGGGGTCCCCCTGGCAGCACCCCCAAACCTGTCGCACCCAGGAGCCCAGCCAGCGCCGGGGCTGGAGGAAAGGCCCGTCCGGGGCTTGCAGGGTCTGCAGCAGGGAGCTCAGCTGTGGGGAGAGAGGGCAGAGCGAGCCTGGGTCCCACCCCCTGCTGGCACCCACCCTCTGCTGGCACCCATCCCCTAATGGTACCCCATCTTTGTGGCTTCCTATCCCCTGCTAGAACCCACCCTCACCAGCACCCATTCCCAGCCCCCAGCAGCCTCCCAAGACCCTCCCAGCCCCCTGACACCCCCAGACTCAGAACCCAGCAGGTCCCAGCTGCAGAGTCCATGGGTGCCGGGTGCCAGAGCAGAGCAGTGGGACCACCTGGGTGTGGGTACCCTCTCTCCCAGCTCCCCATTTACCTGGGTGAGGAGGTTCATCTGCAAGGAGAAAAAAAAGTGATGTCCAGAGATCTGGGGACACAGAGCTGTGCCCAGCCCCACCTCGGGGACCTCTCCGTCCCCAAACCCTTGTGGTGCCACCTTGCCCTGCTGAAACCCAAGCTGTGGCCATGGGCACCGTGCTAGCCCTGGTGCTCGTGCTGCTACCTCACCCTGGGGACACCTCGGAGGTCCACCGTGGTCCACAAGCAGCTGCTGCTCCAAATGTGAAGGCAGGATCCCAACCCACCCGGGTGAGCCCTGTGGTAGCTCTTGGCACTTGCACATTCACCGGTGCCCGGGAATGTGCCCGGACCACACCGACCGGCCCTGCCATGGCACCGAGCCCATCCCATGGGGCCAGGACCAGGGGGACAAACCAAACCTGGCCTCACATTTCATCAACAAACTTCTTAGGTGACCCCAAAGGAGCCACAAAACGTCCCTGTGGCCACGGGGCTAGGGACGAAACACCTTTGGGTGCCCAAACACCTCTTGCCCTGAAGCTGGCTCAAGGGATGGGCACCGGCCCCATGTCCCCAGGGTGGTGCGTGCCCGGGGTCGGCTTTGGAGCCACATTAAACTTTAATCTTTGTGCTGGGAAGTCAGCAAAGGCTTTGGCAGGACTTAGGGTGGGTGATGTGGGAACTGTCACCCTCTGTCATCCGCCGACCTCCGGCATCGGTTATCAGGAGCCTCCAATAAACAAGAGTTAATTATAGCTGAAACCGGAGCCTGGCGGCCACATTAACCCTCCCAACCACCTCCAGTCCCATAGTCACCTTGCACACCTTCTGTCCTCTTTTGCTTGCTCTTGTCCCCTCCTGATCCCCACCATTCTCTCATGACCCCCATATCCTCCTGTTCTCACCATCCCCTTCTGGTCCATAGCATCACCTCCTGGTCCCCACTAGCCACTCCCTGGCTCCATCATCATCTCCTGATGGTCCCCATCATCCTTGTAGATTCTTTTGGCCCCTCTCTGTCACCATTGTCCCCTTCTGGTCCACATCATCCCCTCCCAGTTCCTATCCTGCCCTCCTGATCCCCATCTTCCCCTCCTGGTGCCCATCACACCATCCCAGTCCTGACTATACCCTCATGATCTTCATCGACCCCTGCTGCATCCCACTGCCCCCTCCTGATCCCCATCACACCCTCCTGGTCCCCGTCATCTCCACATGGTCCCTATTGTCCTGTCCTAGTCTCTATCATCCCCTCCTTGTCCTGGCCATCACCTCCTGCTCTCCACCATCCATCATTGTCTCCTGGTCACCATCAAAACACCCAGGTTGTCATTGGCCCTTCCTGATCATCATCATCCCCTCCCAGCCCCTATCCCCTCCTCCTGGTCCCCATCATCCCCTCCTCACTCTTGTTGTCCTCTCCTGGTCCCCTACCTTCTGGTCTCTATCCTTCCCTGGTCAGCACCATCTCTTCTTGGTCCTCTTCAGCTCCTCCCAGTTCCAAATCATCCCATCCTCATTCCCATCATCTCCTCCTCATTCTAGATCATTCTGTACTGATCTCCACTGTGTCCTCCCAGTCTCCATCACCCCTTCCTGATCCTTGTTGTCCCTTCCTGGTCCCCTTCATCTCCCCTTCATCCCCATTGGCTCCTCCTGATCTCCATCATCCCCTCCTGGTCCCCACCATCTCTCCCCTCAGTCCCCAACATCTCATTCTAATTCCCAACATGGTGGAATCAGGTGCCTACCATTTCCCTTTGGCCTCCATTGTCTCCTCCTGGTCCCCCCGTCCCCGCCTGATCCTTGTTGTCCCCTCTTGGTCATCATCATCTGCTCCTGGTCCCTGTCATCTCCCCTTGATCCCTGTTGTCTCCTGATCCTCATCATCCCTCCTGATCCCCATCATCTCCCCTTGGTCCCCATTCTTTCCTCCTGGTCTCCACCGTTCCCTCCTTGTCCCCACTGACCCCCTCCTGTTCCCCACCACCCCTGGGGCTACCAGGACAGCCTGACCCCCCTGGGTCACCCGCTGTCCCCATGTCCCCAGCCTAGCTGTCCCCTGGCTGGGGCACAACCACCAGCTCCCCACGGCTGGTGGGATTAGTGTGGCTGGAGCCTTGGGCCAGCTCCCAACCACAGGTTTCAGAAGCCCATCGCCAACATCTTTGGGTAATTAGTAAATTAGTAATTAAACGCTCTCTGCCTGCTGGGGAGGGAGGGGGAGGGCAGATCCCAAGGTTTTAGGCTGGGTAATCCCATGGCATCTGCCCCAGCGTCTGTCACCGAGCCGAGTCATGACCCCACCGCGGGCTTTAACATTTGCTCCTTCACCCCCCACCCCTCCACCTGCAGCCTCTCGGCTGTGGCCTTGGGGCTTGCTTGAGCTGCTCCCCAAAACCTGGCTGGGTTGAGCCCCACCCGTCTCCACCCAGAGTGCCCAGGTCAGGTGCTCCAGCCTGGGAGGAGGAGCAGGATGCTGCTCCATGGGGCTCTCACCTTGGGGGCAGCACCCAGCTGGTAGGAATGGAGAAACGGGGTGGGAAACCATATTTTTGTAATTATTGGCTTTCCTGGGTGTGCCGATGATTGGCCGGCAGCAGATGGTTGGCCCGGCTAATCCCCCTTCCCAAATCCCTGCTCTGGAGCTGGCTTCTTCCCACCGGCGAGGAGGGGACGGGCAAATTAGCCGACTCAGCATGTATCGCCATGCTGGCCGCTCCTGGTGGCCCTCCGGCACCCAGGCGTCACCCGTTGGGGGGGGTTAGTGACCCCGGGCTGTGGGTGCTCCTGCCACCCCCAGATCGGGCCCCAGGGGGTGGTTTCAACCATGGGTGAAGCTCTGCTGGAGGGTAGGTGCTCTTAGGAGCACCTAAGCTGTGGGCGCAGGATGGGCAGGGTGAGGTGACAGCTTGCTCCGGCCGCATTAGCCCAGCGTCATAATTCTGCTGAGGGAGGAGGAGGAGGAGAGTGGCCACTGCTGCAGATGGTGGCTGTCAGAGATCTGGGTCAGGGTAGGGGGCCCGCAGGGTGGGCTGGGGCACCCCAGGGGCACAGGGAGGTGCTGGCAATGGAGGGGTGCTGCAGGCAGGGGGAATGGAGCCATGCAGGCAGGATGGTGGAGATATGCTGCAGGGAAGCTAGAAGAAGGTTGTAGGAAGTCTGATGGAGCAGTGGAAGAAGGTTGTAGGGAGGATGATGGGGTAATGGTGCAGGCAGGGGGGAGAGTGGAAGGCTGATGGGGTGGTAGTGAAGGCAGGGAGGGTGGATAAAGGTTGTAGGAAGGTTGATGGGACAATAGAAGGAGGTTGTAGGAAGGATGATGAGAGGGGTGACCCCCAGCCCCCAGATCCACCAGTGTCACTGCCACCAGCCCTCAGCAGGGCCCCACAGCCCACGGGACACCTCTGCTGGGGTCCCACGTAGTGAGCTCCCCCCATCCCAGGAGAGACACAGGAACCTGGGGCCCCCCAGCCGCAACTTGC